TTTTTTTTTTTCAGTTTTTTCTGCAGCCAATCCAAGTCTTGTTAGAATATGTGCCTCTGGGAAGCTGTGCCGTTCAGCTGAACGTTCGAACGCATTTGACGAGGATGGAACAGGTTTAAGCATGGGTGGTGGATTAACTATTGTTGGGCCCCGACTAAGCAGTTCCGCGTGCGAAGTCAGTTTTAGTTTTGTTGTTCAAGCGAGGCTCCTGCCATTCTGTAAAGAGCTTTTACAGAGAAAGTGGTTTGTGTGTGGCATAGCGGCTTACAGCCAGTGAGTTTCGCAAGTAACCGTGCGTCATTGGTGGGCAGGGCCGATTATCTTTGCAATATATGCCGGTTATTAGATGTAATTTGTTGCAAATCATGAAAGAGTGCATCGTACTTGATTTGAAAGAACAGTTCTCATCAGAATTATAGAGAAGTTTGAAGGGATGACTTGATACTTCGTTAAACTTTTTGCTTGGCTTTAAATAGATAGTCTATCCGTTTAGGATCAAGGAGTGCACTTTTCAGTTTTTATAGCACACCTAGTAGTGCGATTCTTAAATATTCACGCTCTTTTTATAAAAATCTTTACGGTATTCAGACATTCTGTCGTATGAGTGATATTTCACTTAACGTTCAATCATCGATATTCTTAACACTTTCTTTTTTCTGGCTCTCTTTTCCCCTTCCTTCGTTAACGCTGGTCTTTTAAATGACTAATCGGTTAATTAAAATATCAACTCCCTTAATAAACTTGCAAATTCTTACGTTTAATAACCAGTATGAAGTGAAAGGTCAGTGTATCCGGCTCATTGACGACGCTTGGCTAGTTAAAAAGCTCACTGGCGGTAGCCGAACTTCATTTTCTCTGCAGGAGTACCAGTATCTGACTCGTTTTGATATTTGTTTGCTTTGCAATACAGATTCACGTGCCTTTTGAGCAAAAAGAAGAGTTTCAAAAATTTTGCAAATTAAAATCAATGTTAAATCAGATTGGGTTAAGCTTATTTTTAGGTAAGACCTGGGAAACATTTAGAAAGCGCATCTTACGGGTTAAATCGTCTTCGTTATAGCGAGGCTATAGATAGTACGCATTCTTTATCGTACCTCGGTTGGGTTCATGCGCGACAGCTAAGGCGTATGGAAACTAGATCCGAATGGTATGTGTTATAATAGTCTCTAACCTTCATCTCTAACCTTCATGTATGTGATTGTTTGCGGTTCCTTCCCGAGGCCGATTTTTTTAATTCAACGTGTCACATCTTTGCTCTCGCACAAATTATGGGCCGCAAATTCAGCCTGACAGAGCTTTTAGTTCATCTGTCTAGCTGTATGAAAGGAAGATCAGCACTTTCACGAAAGCTGCCTTTTTTTTGATCGAACAACCTGCTTTAGTAACATATGACTCTCGTTTTTCTTTGCTTGTGAAGTGCAGTGCGTTCAAGTTTTTTAAAGTGTGTGTTCTGAACAGGTTGTGCGAAGAGACTAAAACTTTATTAGTGCTCTTGGAGTGTCTCAAAACGCTCCATACGAAATGCAGCTGCTCCTACAAATTCGAAGTTTCGTAGACTGCGGACTTCGATATGACGGAAAAATTGTGAGAAACAGGAAAATTAGTATAAGAAAGTAAAAGATGATATCGAGACTGCAAAGCAAAAAATTAAGTGCTAAGTCAGTCTAAATGTTTAAGTTAAAAAAAGTTTTGAAAATGAAACATTCAAGAGCTGATAAAAAGCAAGCAATTAAGCAAAATAAAACTGCAAGAGTAGAAGAATTTGAAATAGATGAATAAAACAGGAATGAATGTGCCCTGTA